TGCAAAATTAGCGGTTTAACGAAAAGTTAAAATTTTAACATTTTCAATATTTCGCAATTTACTAATTTAGAGATTTTAACACGTTTTTATCAAGATTATCAAGTAATTTTTTTAAATATAGCTATAAAGTGTAATAAGGTTGTATCATGGAATTGTATAAACAATCATTATTGTATATTTTAAACCGATAAAACACGTTTTATTCCAAAAAAGTATATCGTTTGGTAATGCACCGTATTGTTATGAGTTTCTTAAAGGTTTGAAGCAAAATAACTAGATTTTTGATCTTTTAACTTTAACTTTAAGTTAAAAACTATAATTTAAGACACATTTTCATTTATTTAATTTAAGGATTTTAATTCAAGTGTATTTTAAGAACTAGTTTCCAAAATGACGTTTATTCGGTAATGCGCCGTGTTGAAGAATACAGTATTTGTGATATAGATTAAACCTTTATAAGAATGCAGCTTGTTTTATATGCGGTAGAGTTGCAATGCAGTAAGTGGAAGTAAATAAAAAAAAATTATTTCAGCAATGTTTAGCAACAATAATGTAGTGATAACACCTCCGTGGTGATAATGTGGTGAAAATGCCTCAACAAGCTTGTAGCTTGCTTAAAATATTTAAATAACAATGTTGGTTGGTTAAATTCATAAACACTGATTTACAAATATAAAGAAACAACGATTCATTTTTAATATCTGTTTCACCTTACGGTGCAGATCCGTAAGAAACTTTTTTGATGTTTGAAAACTAATTGGAAGACCTGTAGCAAACTTTAAACTTCTATATATATGCTAAAACCGTAAATACAGCACATATCAATTAAAAAACAAATATACTTACATACATGCTAAAAATTATATGCACATATATTCATACTTTCCATCCACATATGCACACACTAGGATAAGTACTCGACTTATGTCAAAATTGCAGTGATTTATGCTTAGGAACCACAAAACAAATGACTTCAAACCCCAAATATATTTGCAACGCGTTGTTTTACATAATTAAATAATTTAATATTGTCTTTACTAACCTAAATGAATACTTACTATGTTCTTATTCATCAAATGATTTTATTTTAACATTTTCAACTTCACCAAATAATTTTTTATAAAAATTATTTGATGAAGTTATCAGTTTCACCCTCCCCCTTTTTAGTCGCTAAATATAGCGCATAAAAGTTATTTACTTATATACTTGTATTTTTTTGGTCGCTAAATATAGCGCATAAAAGTTATTTACTTATATACTTGTATTTTATTATATACTTGTATTTTTTTGGAACTTTTTAATAATAAAAAGGAGAGGGAGGGTGGGAGAAGGGTGAAATTGAAAACTTTAAACGCAATCATTTTCGAATATTTAGAAGATATTAAATAAAATTTATGACCTGTCACACTAAATATAGTTTTAAAAGTATTTTTTCATTTGCGCGAGATCTTAAAAATAAACCTTTATTCCCTAATATTATTGGAAGCAGATTATCAGTCGCTTTTATTGCGTACCGACGTCATCATTTACACAAATTTTTTTAGAAACTGTAAAAATAAACTCGGAAAGTCAGTTTAGTTTAACTTAATTTAGGGAACAAACTTATTGATGCCGAAGACATAGATTTAAAGTTTTTTTTGGCACTAATTATGCTAATAGATATTTAATAATAACTGTCATACACGCAAAAATAAATTATATGCAGGGAGCAAACTAACATTTAGGCAAAAGAAGTAAATAATCATAGGTTATGAAATAAATAGATTGATGGTGGTTCTCAAATACTTTAACAGTTTTTCTTGTAAAGTTTGTTCAGATGAAAAAAACGTTTTTCTTTGACAAAAAATAAAAAAAGTGCGTTAACGCCGTTTTTTGTAATATACACTTTGATAAAGGACGTGCATCCAACATGTTCATATCTTAAAGGCATTTATAACTTTTATCTTTTTTTTTTCAATAACATCATCGAAAAAATTCTTTCAGAGTTAGGAATTTGTAACAAATTTAGTAAAACTAACTTATCTATCATGGCATACCTAAACATAAGACAAAAAAAACAGTGTTATTGCTTTAGAATAAAACAAATCACAGAAACATAAATGAACAATTTAAAAAGTAAAAACATTTGAAATAAAGTTACAAACGTGTTGGTATCAAATCTGTGTCTTTTGTCGTGATTTTTTGTTTTTTGTAATTCAATTCTTAGTTAATAATTTAAAAGATAAACTTCAAACTTTGAAGTTTAACTATCGAAATCATTTCTTAAAATATTCAAAGGAAGTGCTTAAAAACGTGCCCAAGATGGCTTCATGATAATTATCTAAATTTAAAAAAAGTATTATATAATCCACAGAATTTACTATAGCTAGATAGGCTCACTTATTATTATTTTTAATTATTAATTTTTTTTTTAGTTGTTGCAAAACCCTTTCTTAAATCTATATCATCAAAACATAAACCTTGACAAACAGGTATGTTTAACAAAAAAAAAAGTTGAGCATCGTACTTCCAGGTACATGGCTCAAACTCTGAATTTCTTCTTATTTTTGAAGTGAGCACTCTACGCCAAAACACTACAAATTAAATTGAAGAAATTAGGTCAAAACAAATATGAAGATATGAATTAAATATCAGAAAAAAATATCAAATAATTGTAACACATACTATAACTGTAAAACCTGATTTTTCAAGTATAAAAGGATAAGCGGACATAGTAGTAGGGGACAAAGTCGTACACAGTAAAACTGCTGATTTAGGACCTCCCTCTCCCCTTACATGCACCTGTATGAACTTGATAATCCCCTTTCTATGTCCGTGATGAACTTGATAATCCCCTTTCTATGTCTTGCACAATGCATAAATTTTAAAGAATATTAAAAACAAATAAACTTTTATTGAATTCGATAAGAATATAAAACTTTTTAAACTTGTGAAATTTAATTCTTTTGTTAAAAAAACAAGAAAACAAAATGAAGAAATATAAATCTAGCGTCAAACTGCGTAAATACTCGCTGAATCAACCACTCCCCCTTATACGCCTTATTCCCTTATTCGTAGGCCTTCCTTAGACCCTTAAGCCTAGATAAAAGCTTAAAAATCAAACAATCAAGTTTCAACCAAACAAAAAGGAAAAAACTAAAAATAATACTATTTAAAACGTGAAAAAAAAAAATTAATACATTTTTGTTTTTCTTGCTTTCAACCTTTCATATCGAATCTTTGCAACTAACTGTTCTATTGAATAACGTTCTTGAAGTTTTTTGCCTTCAGAGTGAGAAATGATAGTTTCTTCCACTTGCTGTTGAATTATACTAGATTGCCCTTTAAGTTCTTTAAAAAATATAGTTTTCATCAGTAAGGTGTCCTTTGTGTTAAAACTTACTTTTTGCTTTGGATAAATGTTATTTTCATTTTTAGTACTAACTTTTTTTGACCTGTACAATTTACTTGCTTGGAAGTACGATTCACTAAAATAGCATTATCTATTAAACATGCCTAATAAATGTTTGATTAAAACTTTCAATGTCAATATTGCCAAAAATGCGATTCAATTCTTCAACTTCGTTTGAAATCCACACTTTTTTTATTGATAAAAAAGAATCTGACATTTTTGAAAAGTTATTTTCTTCGTCACACTTCTCATAGGTGAAGCTATCATTATCAGAACTTTCATTATCAGAGTTTTCTATAAGAAGTTTTTTTTTGGAGGTTCGCCAGAACTTATAGCAGTACTACTTTTTTCAATGAACTGAGCTGACTTGGTATCACTAGATCCTGAGTAAACTAAATTAGCACCAAAGATAGCATCAGTAACTTTTTCTGAGGTCTGAGCAACATCAGCACATGTTCGATTTAAGTAATACCATTTTTCACCAGTGGATCTTTTGTGCTTCATCAAAGTAGCAAGATTTTCCTTCATTTCTGGGTGTTTGTCATAAAAAAAAGTTAGTAAACTTTTTCGAATTAATGTTGCAATGACGTTTTTTTCCCATTAAGTTTATAACATGGCAAGCATTTGCCAAAAAAAGTATTTAATTGTGTGGATACTCCTCCTGATTTAATAGGACAGCCTGCCCATGAAATAAAAAAGTTTGAGGACTTAACACTAGGACACCAGGCACATTGCTTCTAATAACAGTATAAAATATTCACATAATAATTTAACATGATCTTTAATAACAATTTGGCAATCTCCATATGTTGAAGCCGTTTTATGTTTTTTGACTGAGACTATAAACTGTCCATTAATTACTGACCCACGAAGATATTCAGCAAGAGTCATGTTTGAATTTGTGCATTTGTGTAGATCATCCGATTAACATGATAAGAATTTGGGGTTGAAAAATATTTTAAGCCAATTTCTTTAATTTTATTAGTTATTTCTACATAAAAAGAACTTTGCAAAACAGCTTGAAAATCTTCAATAGGAATGGAGTTTTCATAATTATCTGCCATTACTTCAAACTGCTTCACGTCTTCTTCTATCCGTAAAGATTTGCGCCATTTAGAAAGCTCAACACAACATACATTTATAATATCAGCACTTAACCGGTCTACTGGCAAAACATTGCAAACACTTGGTGTTACTTTAGAACGAATAATAAATTCCATAGTGTCCTAACGATAACAAAAATGATCGCTTTGTACACCGGGCTCAAATCCTTTTGCTTTAGCATGAGAAAACCAGACATTTTGAAGTTCATTAAGGTCAAAAAGTTTAGTATAATCTTGTTCTAAAGGCGATACAACTTCCATTATTCTACGAACTTGGGCCATCTCATTATTGGCACTCTTAAAATCCTCATTTCCTCCAGAACAACTTTTTAAGTACAATACAGTACCATTCCTCCAGAACAACAATACAGTACCATTTCCTCCAGAACAACTTTTTAAGTACAAATTAAAAACCTCTAAGTAATCATTAAAAACAGGTTCTTTCGGTAACAATACAGTACCATCATTATTTTTAAAAGTTTTCGTAATGCTTTTAACATTTTTACAATTATTTTCATTATCAACAGCCAAATAATTACTGTCTATAATTTTGTTTTTGCATAATATTTTAAATGTAGTTGTTGAAGAAGAAATATGCTCTTATTTTTGTTTTAACATTTTATAATATAAGGGAAGATTATTTTTAAGAAAATGTAGGGATTTATATAAATGGTCATGAATTCTGCGAACCACTTTATTACATATAGGGCATTTGTATTTTGAATAGATACGTTGATCAGTTAATAACCCAGCATCTTTTCGTTCCTTTCTGAGATCAAACACACCACGAGTAATACAAGCTTCTTCAGGTGATTTTTTATGTACATCTCTCATATGCCTTGGTAAATGCACTATAAAACTTTTACAGTTTGGTTCTGGGCATTTAACTTTGTTTCTACAAAAGTTTTTACTAACTTGATTGTTTGTTATTACTTTTTCTGACGAAACTATATTTAAACTTAGATTTGCTTGAACTGGTTTAGTTTTTTCTTTTTTCCATTTATCGAATAACTGCATTATAAGAAAAAAAAAAGAATTCGAAAATATAACATTAAAAATAATATAAAAACTTGTTACTTTTGCTTCAAAACTACCTTTTCTGCTTCCAAAACTAATCCTTCTTTCATATAACCAGTGAGCATACTCCTACTCTTGACTTCTTCCAAGTCATTTAAATGGCTGCACAAAAAGTAAAAAATACTTTATTTGCATTGGTTTCATAATCCTATTATTGAATGTAGCCAACCATTTATATAAATTAAAATAAACTAAGAAAATAAAGCAAAAAAACAACAACCTTGGAACAGCAATATTCATCATTTTATTACTTTTGCCCTAAATATTTAAATTATCTTATTTTTATTTTTATATTTTACTTATAATATCAATACTATTTGTACAACATACAAGTAAATTATATAAGATTTTTTCTTTCAATTAAGTTTTAAATATCAAAAACACTTACAAATTTTTTACAAACTTTTTGTACACTGAAATCATATCACTCATGAAATCCTAAAATGTTGGGGCAATTTAAAACTTCTATCATATAAAATATAAAATTGAGTAATTCAAAATTTTAAAAAGATGTTTGCTTTTGTCAGGGTTGATAAAAACCCCACCCCATCTGGGTTTTTGAAAATCTTTAGTAACAGAGTTTTATTAAACTATATTAGTTGAAAAAAAATTTCCGTTTTTTACAGGTATATTGTTTTATACAAAAGCTTAATTAATACCCAGATTGCATTTTTTCTAATAAAAAGCTATTTTGAAATAGAGTTATCATTTTAAAATTTTAGTTTTATTTAAAATATAGGTTGAGTATATTCTTAAACATGAAAAAGTATTAATCACGGGGAAGAAATAGTGCAAGTTGAATGAAATGATGATATTAAGTGATCAACCAAAAAGATTAATAGTTGTTGCGAAGATAGCAAAACTAAAAAAATAGAGTTTAGATCTAAAAGCACAAAAAATAAAAGAGGCACTAATGATTCCATTGAAGTATTTAGCAATATATAAATTTTAGATTCAAGGTTATCTAAGGTAAACAGCAAGATTGTTTAAGCTTTATTAGTGATACTTCTTATTTGTCGATTGACGAGCATCCATTCTTATATTTGTTACTACAACAACAAGTAATTAGAAGGATGAACTGGATTTGCAAAGATTTACAAAAATAGCATGTGATCAAATTAAAATAAATACAGAAAAAAATTTTTTGTTTAAGTTTACTACTCTTGTATTTTTACTTATTTACATAGAAAGACATTAGATTGAAGTCAAGAAGAAGAAGCTGAGGAATGGTTGAATCAAGCTAATCTCAAGTATATGGGTGGCCATTATGCATTTAAACTAAAAGATGCTATTTATTTCCCAGTATATTTATCCGATGATATTGTAAAATGCACAAAATTAGCAGCAAATTAGTTGAAAATTATAGGAAAGAAGGAGTCTAAATCTTTCAAACTGTTTGCAAATTTTGCAAGATTTTTACGATAGTTGCACACTTGTCCAGCAAGTACTTAATAAATTAATGGAATTTTCTCATTCTTTCTAATTATTTGATGCAAAATTAAGAATTGTTTAGAAAGTCAAAAAGATGAACAGAAATTTAAGATTAAGATGCACAATTTGTCAGCCAACAACCAAAAGGCCAAATGTCCACATTTTGTGTTTTTTCTGTTTGTAATCAATAAGTATTCAACAACCAATGGAGTATGTGTCTAATAAATCTATTCTTAAGAAAGATACAATTTAAAAAAAAAATTTAAAAACCAATTTTAAAAACAAATTATAAAAATAAAAAAATAAAAAAAAAAATTTAAAAAACAAAATTTGGACATTCTGGCAGTAAGTCTTTACAAAAAAGTTACCAAAAATGAAATACAAAAATATAAATAGTTAAAGGAAAGCGTAAATATATACATACATCAACTAATGGAACTTTTTCATTATAGCCTTTTTTTCCTTTTTCATTGGTTGGTCTTCCAATATTATTAATAATATGCTATAATAAATGAAAAAGTTGTTGTTAACTTAATTAATTATTTCAAAAAATACGCAAACACATACACACACAGTCACACACAAAAATACTTACATCTGCTAATAAGCATTGGTTGTTAAAATCTTTATTTTCTTTTACTATGGGTAAAATAGATATTTCGCTACCATAAACCTCAGCCTATAATGGTTAAAACATTTTCCATCTGCTAACTTTATTTATTAAAGCAGTACACACACACATACACTAAAATATGCACAAACTTACATCTGCTAACAAACATTGATTATTAAAATCTTTGTTTTCTTTTAATGTGGGTAAAATAGATATTTCACTTCCATAAACCTCAGCCTAAAATGGTTAAAACATTTTCTATCTGCTAACTTTATTTATTAAAACAGTACACACAAAAATATTCATAAACTTACATCCACTGACAAACATTGATTATTAAAATCTTTATTTTCTTTTTTTGTGGGTAAAATAGATGTTTCGCTTTCATAAACCTCAGCCTATAATGGTTAAAACATTTGCTAACTGCTACCTTTATTTATTAAAACAGTACATACACACATACACAAAAATATGCACAAACTTACATCCGCTAACAAACATTGATTATTAAAATCTTTATTTTCTTTTTTTGTGGGTAATATAGATGTTTCGCTTTCATAAACCTCAGCCTATAAAGTTTAAAAAATTTGCTAACTGCTACCTTTATTTATTAAAACAGTACTCACACACACATACAAAAATGTATATTTTTTTAAAAATAAAGTTGGTTAATCAACATTTTTCAAGTCTCGTTCTATAAGAGGTTTTTTGGTAAACTAATTAAAAATTTGGTAAACTTTTGTTAATCAATAGTAAACAATTGTTAATATAATGTATTTGTTACAACAGTATAAATTTATACAAATATATACACATATACAGCCCTTAAAGTTAGGGTCGACATTTGGTGATGCCGACCTCAAAGTGTTTAAGGTCAGCAAAAAATTGCCAACTTCATTTCTTTGTTATATGGTTAAACTTTTGTGCCAAACTATTTTTGCTGATCTGATGCCGACCTTTAACAGTTTAAGGTCGGCACTATATTGCTGAACTCATTTTTTCTAATTCCGAGGGCTGCAAATATACTTACAACAAATGGTATTTCTTTATTCAAACTTTCAATAATGTTAAAATCAACTTCTTGAACCCTTTCATCATAAATGATTTCTGAAAATATAATTCAAACTCATCAATATTAATAAATACAACCTAAATTATATCCATATCCATACTTAAGTGATTTAACCAAATTTATAGGGCAACAACTTCTTTATTTATAATAAACTATCAAATAAAAAATGAAAACACCATTGACTTATTTAAAAAAACAAACCTTGTCAGCATCAGAGAGTATTTCTACTTCTAAAAAGTATTGTTAGCAGGAATTATTAATAATTAATTATTATGTACACTAAAATTTTGTGTATGCTGCTAGGCTAGAATGGCAACCAAAATTTGATTAATTTTTTATTGACGCTTTTTAAAAACTCTTGATAAAAGAAAGTGAAAATAAATATTTAAAAAAATGAAGTTAACATTAAACCTTTCTATCAAACAATGTTAGTAAAATTTAACTTTACGGTATATTTTTTTCATATTGATTTAATTATAAAATAGAATATTATATTATTATATTATTATACAATTATTACTCTCTTTTTTTAAAATTAAATTCAAACCATTTATATAAAAAAAAATTTAGCATAAAAAAATTAATATTACTTTAATATTCTTAGTAATTTTTTAACTTGACTCATTTTTTAACTTGACTTGAAAAAGTTCCAGGACATTTCAGGACATTTTTGAAAAAAATGTAATTTTCCAGGACAATTCAGGACATTCCAGGACACTTGCAAAAATCCAGGACATTCCAGGACTGTGGCCACCATGAAGTAGGGGAGGGGGCACAATCGTTAATTATTGTAAAAAGTCTTCTATAAGTAGAATTTCCTTATATCTACATATGAATCGGTTTTTTTTTAAAAGGACGAATTTGTTAAGAAATGTTGAGCAAATTCCCCCTTTTTAAAAAAAACGGATTCATATAAAAAAAAGTCCTTTAGAAATAAAGGAGGGGGAGGGGGGGGGAAGCACAAGCCCTCCGGTTGTCGTCCGCCCTGACTACTTATTATTTTTTTTGTTAAACTTATGACTATGATTTTTTTTAGGTACTATTTATCTCACCTTTAACTCATTAAATGAAGAAATGAGTGCTTTAAAAAGTATATGGCTTTGATTATCTGACAATAACCCCACTAACTCTCCGTCACGAAGATTTCCTAAAAATTGTAAAATAAAACTAAGTATATATTAATTCACAATAGTATATTAATATTAATCAAAAATAAGATGCAGCAAAAGCAAAAACTATTAATCAATTTTTTTTTTCTTTTTATTATCAAATATTAATCAAATAGTTTTTAGTTTTGCTGCATCTTATTTTTGACTGTTAACCCTACTTTTATTAACTAAACCTACTTTTATTAACTCCACCAGCTTTAAATAAATTGTGTCTATAGCTGTACAACTAAAATAATATCTAGAAATCAAAAACTCGTACATAAAATTGTTTGTGTATAATAAATATTACAACTACAACATAATATTCAAATTTTTTAAACGTAAAGCACTATGATCATCATATTAAATATATTAAATCAATTTAATACTTACATGACCAGAAATAATTGATTTAAGAAGTTGGGATGAAGCAATATCTGTAAAACTTTGGCTGGTAAAATTACTGAAAGCTAAAGTCATAAGTTGAATTAAAACACTTGGATGAAAACAATTGTTTGAAAAAACTATTTATATATCTATAGCTACCTGAGACAACCATTTCACTGCTTTCATCTGGAATAATGTTAACACCTGATAATAAATTTTTTTTTATATACACAATTAACATTGAGCACTCTATTTTGTTAATTAGGTTAATTAGGTAATTAAATTTCTATAAACAATATAATCTACTAACTTATATAAAAAAAAATATATATATAAATATATATATATATATATATATATATATATATATATATATATATATATATATATATATATATGTATATATATATATATATATACATATATATATATATATATATATATATATATATATATATATATATATATATATATATATATATATATATATATATATGTATGTATATAATATATATATACATACATACATACATATATATATATATATATATATATATATATATATATATATATATATATATATATATATATATACATATATATATATATATATATATATATATATATTTTTTTTTTTATATAAGTTAGTAGATTATATTGTTTATAGAAATTTAATTACCTAATTAACCTAATATATATTTAATTACCTAATTAGCCTATATATATAATATATATATATATATATATATATATATATATATATATATATATATATATATATATATATAATATATATATAATAAATATATATATAATAAATATATATATAATAAACATATATATAATAAATATATATATATATATATAAATATATCTATAAATATATCTATAAATATATATATATATATATATATATATATATATATATATATATATATATATATATATATATATATAAATATTTTATATATACACATCAGTGGTGTACTCTCATGGTCCACCGGTAGCACGGGACAACTCGTTTTCTCCAAGAGCGACTGAAATTTTTAAAAAATATCTGTCAGTAGCCCGGCAGGATGACCAAAGAGTTTGTTTCTTATACGAAATGTGTTTATTAATAAAATTATATTTTATTTGAAGTAGAAAAGTATCTAGAGAAATAGAGTGGATATTCAAATAATATTCGAAACTTATTAAGGAACATAAACAACATAAAACCGTACTGTTTCAAAAGTTTTACATTGTGAAAAACGTTACCAATGGTCCGTAAAAATGCGCGTTAATTTAAAATAAACTAATAAATAACTTTTAATTGGTTTAAATTTAATTCAATTTTAAAATTAAATTTAAACTAAAAACGCACGTTTTTACGTACTATTACTAACGTTTTTCAATATGCCGAACTTTTTATAAAGTGCTTTTTTATAAAGTTGTTTAAGTATTTGTAAAAGTTCCAAAAGTTTTTAATAATATCTGAATATCAACTTTATATTTACTAAATGCTTATCTACTTGTTTTGAAGTTTTAAATTACTAAGGTTGTTAGAACAAAGAATGAACTTTAAAAATTATAACACTATTATAGTTTTATATTTTTTAAAATGCAGTTAGTGTCAAAAGTGTTATTGCTTTTGCAGTCGTAAGGATTAAGTTTTGTTTTTTATAGTTTTTTTCCTATAAACTTATAATAATTTGGTCCTTAAAAACAAAGTACACGGCTTTGCGTTAACTAAAATTTAAAGAACATCACTAGTTTCACCGGAGAAAAAATGCAAAAAAAAGCTTTCACACCAGACGATTATCTTAGCGGTCAACTCAAATGAGAAATAAAAACTGGAGGGTACACCACTGCACACACACACACACACACACACAAACACACACACACAAATATTTGAGATTACCCATATGGGCTTAAAGTGGCGAATTTCCATATGGATACCACATGGGAAAATCACATGTGAGTAAATACCTCATGTAACTAATGTGGGATTTACCGATTTGGGTTTTAAGTGGCAAATTTCCATAAGGATACCACATGGGAAAATCCCATGTGGGTAAATACTACATGTAACCCTTGTGGGATTTATCCATATGGGTTTAAGTGGCAAATTTCTATTTGGATAACACATGGGAAAATCCGTCCCTTATAAATTCCATGAATCCCACACGGAACCCATGTGGGACACGGTTTTATTTTTCACTGGAACACTGTTTTAACTAAACGGTCAATTTTTCATATTGCAAAAATTAATGTAAAAGCAAAAGAATAAATTTACTTTTGCGAAAAATGTAAGTCAAAACTTATATTTTTTTGATTATTATTTTTTCAACACTTGGTAACTTAATGATAATAAATAAAAAAAAAGTTATAAGACAAAAATTATTATTACTAAAGGTCCAAAAAATTAGGGCGGTGTTTTGAAAATCTAACAATAAAAATATTATGCTAAAGCTATTTGCGCATTGCATGAAACAGCAATATCGATTTTTTTTTTAAGTAAAAAGTCTAATGAGTTATATATTTAAAAATATAAATATTTTATCTTAAGTTAATTGATTGATATTAAAAAGATATCATAAATTAATTTGTTTGAGATTTTTTGTTTTGTTTGAAATATTAGTTTTTATATGTTTTTTAACTCCTCTGTTTTTTAATTTTGTATAGATATCTGGTAAAGAGTTACGAGCATTGAATTTATATGAAAATATTAATTAAGATTAACCCTTTAACAATTCTGTATTTTTTTAAATTACGGTTTCTATTAGTTCAGCTTTTTTTTTTTGAAGTAGTCTATAAATGTCCTACGGTTTTGAAAAGCATCATTTTTTTTGATCATAAAAGTTTTTTTTTTACTATTTTCTACACTATATTAAACACTACAAAACGTTATTATTCAAGTTTAAGAATATTTAATCATACTATGTAAACACAAAATTTTAAAAAAATTAATTAACTTATAT